ATGCTTAAGTTTTTTAGAGTAAAATATATTTTATGTTAATACTAGTAATTAATAACTTAAAATTCTGCTTGCGAGGAGTTCTGTATAGGCAATATTTACACCAAATATTTTATAATATTGTTTAAATTGTATCTTCATTTTATCATTCCATTACATCGATGATGTGATTTTTGTATTGAAACTGATTTTAACATCTTAGTTAAGTTAACTTCAGATGCTACAAAAACATTTTCTATTTATTTATCGGAAAAAGAGTAATCAATGTTGAATAATTTGTTGATCTTTACAATTTTGAGTAGAATTGTATTAAGTTTAAGTCTGAACTTATTAAAAGTTTGTTGTAGTTTCTAATGAAGACAAGAGAAGGAATCCAAACCTGATTTCAACATTTTTATCATCTTATTAGATGGGTCAGTTGGAATGAAAAAGTTTATTATCAATAAAAATGGGTGGTTTCAAATCTCCTTAACTTGCACACCTTTGCATATAATTTTTTGGGCTCAGAACCAATAGAACCATTTTCAATTTATATACAATATACAGGTTCAGTTATCAATGGTTTATAATTCAAGCTCACAAATAATGATGTATGCCCATTGTTTAAAGGGTTTTCCAGAACTGGAAGGTTCTAAATTATTACAAATGACAAATTTCTTATTTAGTAGTAATCTAAACAAAACATTTCTATTCTTAACTTTAGATGTTAAAAGTATTTTCTCTAAAAAAAAGGTACATGTTCATCACAAATAGATACTTCAACTTATTTATAAATATTTATTAATCACATCATTTAATAGGTTCAAGAATTTCAAATGTCACATATTATAATATAGTAACTTATTAATTATTAATCATGTCAAGTTAAATTCAAGTATTTTACACATTTTAGCTCCTCTGATTGCCAATTTTATTATTTTATGTAATCATTTTATAATTAATTCTTAGAACCATTATAAAATATTATTTTAGAAACAAAATTTAAAATAGTAAAATATGAAAATATTGGTTACTAAAATAAAACTATGAAGAAAAAGTATGTTTTAAATATTTAAAAGTGATTTAGATACAAGTGTTTAAATACTTAACAAAACTGCTAATCAAATAAAATACCGTATTTTGAATTTACAAGAAAAGGATATAGATGACTGATATAATACATTTTCTATATCCGATAATAATAATAATAACATATTATAATGGTTAGTAAAAAATGTATAACTTAATGTATTTTAAGTACTTTATGAAATAATATTTGAGTTATTCATTCAGCTATGAGTATTTAAATTAACTTAGATAAATAAGTATACTATTTTAAACATTAAAGTAAAAATTATACAATAAATTCCTATATACACATCTTTATTTATACCTATAAAATCTGAAAATTTATAAAAAATTATACAGTTTGGTAAATATTTAAATAAATTTAGCTATTTCTAAGTCATTTACATGTTTTAATAATTTTCTTTTAACTCATAAATGCATAGATAAATAAGTAATTTTAAAGACATAAATATACTATCTCTGATAATTAGATAATTTGTATTAATTAATATTGTTTTGATAATTATATTAGTATAATGTACAGTCAATATCACCTATAACGACCATTAATACACCTTTTAAAATATATCATTATAACTCAGTGGTTTTAAACTCAAATTATTAATGAGCCATATATTTGTACATCAAAGGTTTGCAAGAAAACCCCATTTTACATTAAATACAAAATAAAAAAAATAAATGAAGTTTGTACTAATACTGATTATAATGTAATTGCATTTAATACTAAGTATAGGTAGTAAAAATGTCCATATTAATTTATTGTTTAATAATTAATTATTTATTAATTAAAATATTTATGGATGTTTGCAGACTACATGTTTGAAACCGCTGTTATAGCTGATAGTCATTTTAAATGAAGAGTGGTCAAAAGGAAAAATTAAAAAAAAGCTTAATTCCAAGACATATTTTCAAAATTAATTTACATAATAATAAATAATAATAATAATTAAAATAATACACCTTATTAAAGGTACAAAAAAACAAATATATAATAATATGTCATAATTACAGTATTTTCAATATATCAGCGTCGTAATAATCATATGATGCACTTTATAATATTAATATGTCTATTTTGCTAAGACGTTCAACGACAAGTTGTTACTACCAATATGTAATAGTAAACCATTGTGTTATAACTCATAGGTAATATCTACTTTATGTCAGGTTCACTAAACCAATGAGTGAATCTTGTCAGTGATGACTGTTTAATTGCCAATCCGACCACCTCAGACAAAAAATTGCATTTTTAGTTTTTTTAATTAACACTAAAGAAACAAGTTGATCTTTATTTATTTATAATAAACATGTTATACACTTTAATATTAATATTATTATATTGTATCTATAAGTTTTGCGTATCTGATAAAAAGAAATGGAAGATTTAATTTTATTATGATTATTAAGTATTTATTAATAATGTGAGTGCCTCTAATTTGCTTTTAAGCCATTGTTTTTTTTAAAAAAATAATATATTTTTGATATACAGTATACACTCTTTATAAAATAAATAATAGTAATATAATTTATTAAAACATAAAATATATTAATATGTACCATTTCACAATTATATTATTAATATTAATTAAATATCATAGTTTTTAGTAAGTTTACAAATTATATAACTACTGTTATGTCTTTGTATTTGAATAAAATATAATATATTAATAGGAATTTAAATAATTTCGTATTTAAATTATAATTTGTATACTTATATACATAATATGTGTTTTCTAGAAATTTGTAATTTTAATCTTTGACGGATAGACATTTTCAAACCTCAAAATTCATTCATCTTTGATAAATTTACAGTATTGTACATTTGTAACTATTGAGACAAAAGGTTTATAACAATATGACTTTGATGAGAGAAAAAAGGGCAAATATGCAAAACAAAACGTTAAATACGTACTATTGAACTCTTTATACAATGAAATACATTTGTATTATAATACATTTATACACTTAGTTGGGTTTTCGATAATTATATTAAGTTCCTATCACCTATAAGTGCTTGCATATTATTTACTTGATAAATACTAAATAAAGTTAATGTCATATACTTATGTAATATTATTATTAATCTTAAGAGTTTAAGAAAGATAAAAGTAACTTATGAACTTACATTTTAAGGTGTGTAGTTATTACAATATTTAAACAGTGGTGATACAATAGTCGTGCAATAGTAGTTATACAATAGTTGTTAGATATTCATACATTTTTTTTACGGCTTTTTAAAATACAGCATAATAGACACAAGAAATACAATGGTAAAAGATAAAAAAAGTTAACAACTTATGAAAAATTATACTTATACTACCTTAACTTATACTAATTTGTATTCTAAGGTTAGTACATGGGAGTTATAATATTATGCTTGAGCACTTAACCTATTACAAATATAAAAGTAAATGTGCAAGTACATCTATTGGTCCCATACGGCATACATATGCTGCTCTATTTATTTAAATTATTATTTAAATAAAATATAATTATTGTTATTTATAAAGTTTATTTTTATTATTTTTTAAAGTTGAATTTTCTAACTAAAACATGATTATTCAAATGTGCAGAATCTTATTAAACCCCCTGGTTACCAGTTATAAGTATGGTCTACGCCAGCGGTTCTTAACCTGTGGTCCGGGGCCCCTAGGGCGGCAGCCCCAACACATAACATACATCAATAAGTGACAGAGTGCATTATTACAATATTATTGGATTATTATTTTTTTTTCATATATAATATGTAGATTCTACACCAAATAATTGTATTATTAGTATTTATTAAGTAGGTAATCAGTTTTTCTTGTTCATACGAAATGTACATGCGTACAGCACTGTAGTCTCGGTAGTCTTATATTTACTACCACTATAATTGCAGTTGATCGATCGTAGTATAGTACTCAATTAGTTTTATATTACATTTTTATAAAAATTTAATTGTAATAAAAATAATTGGAAATGTGTATGTTTTGTTGTCTACAAATGTAATTTTTAATATAAAATAATTATTATAATTTTGGTTACGATAACATAAGATGTTTTGTAAAAAAATTGGTAAGGGGGTCCACGATTTCTAAAAATCTTTCATTAGGGGTCCGCGATCTACAAAAGGTTAAAAACCACTGGTGTACGCTATTGAATATATATTATATATTCAATATATAATTTAATTTAGATTTGTTTTAAATAGTTTATATAACTGTATTGGTCCCATATCCTTTTATTATGTAGTTAAATATGCATTTGATGATAGTTACATCGGCTATTGGGTCGTGACTATGATGACCGTGATTATGGTTTACTTAACAAATTAGATCACGAGTTTCCATTAAATTTAGCATTCTCCCGTATTTTGGATGATATCCTATTTGGGATGATTATATTAATTTATTAGTAGATTCTGTTATGTCAAAAAGTTTTAAATTAAAATAATTATTGTTGTTATCATTATAGGAAGTGATATTCCAAATTTTTTTTGTATTTAATTGTAATCGGGTAATTATATCCTTGTCTGTTGTATCATTTCAAAAAAACTATGATTGGTATTCTATCGTCAGTGTGTAAGTACTGGTTAAGGTATGTAGTTGACAGAGTTACCCCCCCCCCTCAAGCTTTAGAATTAACTCTAATTGCCCCAACAATGGTATTAATACTCTAGCTTGTTCCTGAATATCCTACCAACACTACACATCACTTGTTTGATTTCTCGATGCTGCAAAATCTTCAGTTTATTGCTGGTGGTCAATACGATTGTCTTGCCCTCTAAGTAATTAGGTGCTTTTTTTCATTTTTTTGAAGCAAGTTTAAATACAAACAACAAGTTTTCAGGCCCTGGAAAATTATTAATGCAAATTAGTATTATAATAAAAGAAGTTTCAAAATAGATTTTACTTGAGATTTTACTTCAATCTTCAAATTGACAATTAGTATTTTCATGTAGCTTCAATGTGGATGGTATTTTGATACACGGCAAGACAAAAAAACAAGAGCACGATGCTGCCATGCAGGTAAGTACACTGTAAATATAGTAATATTGTTACAAATAGTTCAATTTTATTTTAGTAATGGGGTCTACGGTCTTGAAGTGGATACACCTTTAGCAGTCTGTAAAATATACAGATCAAAAATTCCATAATGCTATTTCTTACTAAGTCATTGTTAATCGGATTCTTGTCTGGCGATCGTAGATTTACATCAGCCCGATGGAACTTGAGTAGGTAACCAGATTGTAGTTGAAATTGGTGAAACGGAGATTGATGACTGTAAAAACCGTGATAAAATATTAAAATATATTTTGAACAACTATTATATTCAATCGACACTTTGGCAATACTGAACCAGAGCCGGATTGGTCAGGCAAGCTACCGAGAAAATCTCGGTGGGCCACTTAAAGTTTGGGCCGGTCATGTTAGTGTGAGTGAAAATAAATTCATGTTAAAATACGATTTGCCACCTATAAGCTAGTAATAATAAATTATAGACGTGTTTTGGCACACTGAATATTATGTAAATGGGACGCTTATAGAAGTGAAAATATCGATGTGCCGATACATACCAATCCGGTGCTGAACTTAACAGAACAGATTATAGGATAAGTAATATACCTACTTATTTTACAAAGAGCAGCATCGTTGTCGACATTGGCCAAGATCTACCTACATAATATATTACCTAATCATTGAATATTCTTTAATGAGAAATGATCTTGGACGAATATCAATATTCGAGAGCGCGTGCCGCCAAATGTCTAAATACTTTAAATGAATACTCATGACAAATTAAATTTGTCATGTGAATACTTACATAATATCATTTGAAGTATTTGACATTTGTTGTCGCGTTCTGCACTACTTAACTACTGTTTACAGCTTACTCATTTACATTTTACTGTTATCATTTGTGTGTTATCATCCCACAAACTGTGGTTGGCGGCAGTAACATATCGTTATAAATAGTCGAATGTCGATTACAGCACCAAAAACTCCTCTAGTCCTCTCATAGTCTCATCCAAAAACTTATATTTAATTTAATTTTTTTAATTTTTCAATGTTATCAGTTTATCATATATATATATTATAATATATTATATATAAATTCTGAGCCACACGGATGTATACTATAATCATAGATCGTATACTATGGATAAAGCTGCTGTATGCCTGTATTTATCTGTGTAGCTGAGCGATGAATGTAATGATTTTACAAGTGGATATTTTAACTTACATACTGGGCAACAGAAATGTCACCCAGAGTAAACTTTTTGGCGCCTGGTGGATCATATATTTAATTACTGGGCGACAACTTTTTTTTGTAAAAATGTCGATGTTTGAAATTATTAAATAATTTTATCTATTGAATATTTATGAATTATTATGTTTAATTTTGTTATTTATTTATGACGTACCCTATATCATTTCGTTTGACAAATAATTATTAACAATGGAAAACTCATGTGACCGTTAACCAGGGTTGAGATGTTTAAAACATTTTGTTTTAAACACTTGTTTAAAACATGTTTTAAACATCTAAATTGATCAAACATGGTTTTGTTTAAAACGTTTAAAACAAATGATTTAAACAACATAAAAAAAACAGCTAGTTTAAAACAGAAAATCATAATTTATGCACATATAACTTATTATTTGTAAGTTCGTACTGGCAACTCCTATTTATTATTATTTTTTAATTCATAAACAAATTTAAAATTTATAAAATGTATAATGATAATTTTACTTATTTAAATTACTAACACTTCAATGGTTATATAATATATTATTTCTGTAGTTCTGTAGGTAATATATTTATTAATTATTTATTTATTAGAAACTTCACTATAATATTTCCAAATGTCATCACGTCTTCGTCCCGTGAACATGTGTTTTATCTTTTAAGTTTTATTTTGTTTCACACTGTCGCTAATGTAGTATTGTAGTAATGTCAGATGCAGAAGAATAACTCAATAACATCAAAATTAAATTTCATTGATATCATATCATATTATTATTTAATATTTTTTACCTTTATCATATTTTATAATCGGAAATATTGTGGCGCAAGCCCACCAAAATTTAAAATAGTAAATACAGTAATCAGTATTCTTTATCACGATGTAGATAACAGATCAGTTCTTTATCATCAATCATTATCAAAATATTCAAAAACGATTTTTAAGTGTAAAACCGATAGCCGTGGTTAAATTACACGTCAAGTTATAAAAAAATTATGATATTAAATTATTAAATAAATGATTTTTTTTTTAAATAAATTACATATTTTGTTTTAAACTCGATTAAATCATGTTTTAAACATGTTTAAAACAGCTGAAAATATCATTTTAAAAAAACATGTTTTAAACAAAAAAATCATGTTTTAAACGATTAAAACAATTTTTTTGATTTTTTTAAAAAAATCATGTTTTTAATCAACTCTGCCGTTAACCATAGCTTATAGATACCATAGAATAATACAATTCAAGAAAACAATTTTATTTATTCCACGCGGTACGCGGCAATTCGACAAAATGTTTCATCTGGTCATCAGTCGCCTCGGCAAATATCTAAAAATTGATTGTTTTTGATATTATTTTAGTCATTGTTCCCACAAGCTATTAGCTAAATAATTATTTCACTTTGAACCTTTAAACAGTTTAAACATTCAAGCTTTCAAGGTAATACGTCAGTAGATACCCATTATTAGTCTTATAATATCTATGAGTATTGAGTAGGTACGTCTTACGATGATATTACGATGACAGGACAACTTTCGTCTTTCATTAATTATGAAATAATTTAAAATCTAATATTTTATACTTGGATTTGACTAAATACAGTACCTATTTTCAATAATTATTAATTATAATATATTAAAAAATACAATAGGTAATAATAAATTAAATATATAGGTATACTTGCGTCTTAATAATATGAATAATATGATAGTCGTATAACGTATTACCATTGGTTATAAAATATAGGTACTCGTAAAAATAATAGTATTTATAATCAATGGTATTAAGTATTGGTGTAATATTATTAATATTCTCTGAATTTCTGTGGATATTCAATATAATAACTATTATTTGAAATTATTATTTATTAATTAATATAATATTTAATATCTTGGATTACCAATTATTACTTTTTTTAAATTCATTTTTGCCAAATTGGATATATTTTAATCTGTGGTTACTGGTTTAGGAATAAAATAAAATTATCGTGACAATAAAATAAATTAACTCATAAGACATAAGCTACTAAACTAATTTACCTAACTCATAAATTATTTGTAATTATTTATGTGTTGTGAGTTTTGATGGTATTGTTCAGTGGCACCGAGTATGCACTTAAGGTGGTGCATTTGAAATTTTGAACCACCTATAATGGTGGTGGGTGTCTGGGTAAAAAATTATTCAGGAAATTAATACTATTACTAAAGTAAATAGGTACCTACTAGGTACTTACACAAGTACCAGTTACGTATTACTTATACCAGTTACGAATTTCCTAGGTAATGCATTATTACAGTATTTTATTACTCTATAAGCAGGTTAGTAATATGCCTGTGTCGTAGTATACCTAAAACGAATTTCTTTGACAGTGTAATAATTATGTATGATTATTTATCTTTGGTCGAATCTAAAATTATCTCAAACACACAACATTTCTGACTACAGAGCATTTTCCCCACATTATACAGTATACACGGCTCTTTAAATCGCTTATAATATACCAGTATTTAGCAGTATCTAGAACAAAACCATTAAACATTTTTAAAGATTGATTGAGAACAACACTTTCTCATGACCATTTAAAACAATTGATGATAATTTCCTATGAGTCTGATATTGATGCAAATCAGGTTATAGATAAGATTGCGAGTACTCAAGCCCAGATTAAGGGGGGGCAAGGTTGGCACGGTCGCGGGGCCCATTATTGATTTTTGGGGCCCATCTTTAACCCCAAAATATATATTTTAACTCATCCAATAAAGTTAAAAAAAAAATTATTGTAGGTAGGTAGGTAAATATATATAGTAGGTAAATTATTATTAATAATTATAAAATAAAATTGCTCTCAATTTTATATTACGAAAAATTACTATAAATAATGAACTATGTTTGCCAACAATTTTGTTTTTTTGATAATTTTAGATTATCGATTTAACTATTATATAAGTATATGTATAAAAAGGTAGTTATAAGCAAAAATTATTTAGCTCTTGTATATTAGGTATTTCAGTTAACAGCATATTATTATACAAAACTTTAGAGGACCATATAGAATAACCTAGCGTCCTGGCGAACCAAAATTGATAATTTGACTTCAAAAATGTTCAGAAAAAAGCTTTGCCAGAATCCATAAAAAAATATAGTGGTTACCATTTGAAAAAATAAAAACGATTTCATTATTGGTAGGAACGACTGCGTGTTTAAAAACGTTATAAAAAAATCGCCGGTTAAAAATAAAGAAACACGTCTTTTTTTGTTTTAACGAAATTCCATTTCATTGACCCATAATTGTTAAAAAGAAACCGCTTACAATGACATAAGATACACCCTGTATATTTTTTGTATAGTAAAAAATTATACAATAATATAAAGTCATTAATATGTATACCTAATGATACAATTATTTTGAAGTTAAAGTTAAAAGGGGGCCCACTTAGTGTATGGTATCCCGGCGCCTAATTGATCCTTAATCCGGGCTTGCGAGTATTATGTACCTACTATCGGACGACACTTAACCTAATTTTGAATTAACTTTATTTTAACATGAAATATTGAATTTTATTTGTTTTTTGTGAATCATAAATCTTAAAATAATGTTTCCATATTTATGTATTAACATTTATACTTGTACTATATAGCTGCGTATATTGTTACGTGCTGCCCTTCAGGAATCCAAAAACGTTGAAATAGCTATTATAAACGTGCTTTTAAAATAGCTGACCACTTTTCATGAGATGGCTGAAACAAATACATTAAAAATATTTATATTTTAAAGTATGTTAAGAACAGACAATCTTATCTTTTGAAAATTTTCTCAATTCACTAACCATTATAGTAAGTTGTGATGATATATAATCAAATTTTAAGAACAATAAATTATGAGAGCTCATATAGGTATAAGAGTTTGCTCTCCAGAATTTTAATTAACATAAAATGATTATTATATGATTATTAATATTTATTATATTACTTAATACTTAAAAACCATATTAAAAATCATAAATCACAGTACACATTAATTATGACAACTACCGAAGTAGAATATTAGCTCAATATCTATATCTTTTATTTATATTTTATATTTATAAGGTATTCATTCGAAATTCAAATTGAGTGTAATATAAAAATTAACATACAGGAACAACTTTTTTTAAAACAATCTTAAAAATTTCAGGACTATACAATTATTACTAGTACCTAGGTAGTGAGTTCCTCGCATATTATCCAAAATTTATGAATATCTCACAATTTGGTACATTAAAAAAAAGTTATTAAACGTGTGATGTTATATCACATTTTAAAATACTTCATAGTATCAAATAATTTGAAAATGTTATCAAGTATTGGAAATAATAAAATAAATATTTGGTGTATATTTCAAGTATTTAGGATTATTCGCTTTTAAATTGCAACAAAATAAGATCATTCAATGAGAATTTTTAATATACAACTGAAAATCCAATGTTAAAAAATTTTAACTTCAAACGTGCATAAAAAATTTGTTCGACTTTCCAGTAAGCTTTTTTTTTTTAATAAAGGTAGGAAAACCTATGAGTTCTTAATCTTGTGTTAAATTTAAAATCTTAGGTATAAATAAAACAT